GACTTCTGTTCTTTTCTCCAAGTGAAGGATGTGTTCTATCATGACGCTCAAAGTGAAGGTTACCAGAGTATATGGTTCTATGTATAGGTATGGTTAAAGCCGTGCTCGAACACAAATTTTGTGAGACTATCCCTTCATTCCCTTCCCTATCCCCTCCCTCCCTTTCTATCCTCACCTCACAGATGCTTGAGGCTGTCAAGGCTTCTTTCGAGTTTTGTCGAAAGTGGGGTCACCTGCTTAGCTGACATACGTCATTTCCACTAAACATCCATGGTGTTTTGAATCACAATTTCCTAATGTTGAGCCTATCGTCATAAAACGACAAAACCAAATGAAAAAAAATTAGGATAAGCTACTGCTTGTGAGTACGACTCCCACAGAACGTATGTATTCGGAAGTATCTGATTGCACCTACTGGTGAACCGGTATGTCCAGAACCGACCATCAGCGATTTGATAGTCGCGATTCAGTCGCTTTGACCATGAATTTTCCCGGCGATGAAATCGCGAAAATGAAATCGTGCCGGTATGGCTAGGGCTTTGCGGGGAACGGCCACGAATGCTCCCCAACTGCTGCAGAGAAGCGGAGGATCTGCTCACGCCTGCTTTTATCTGGCCTTTCGGCGAAAGGAGGCCGAAAAATTTAAACTTCTTCTAAGCCTCACCTTGTTAAAGGAAAAATCTCGGCTTTACGTCGCTGTATGACATATAAAGTCACCCACAAGCCAAGATGAGGCTGCAAGTTACCCTAAGACAATCTGAGAAGAATCGAGTAATGCCCTATTCCACAATGTTACAAGTGATCTTAAACAAAGCCAACAAGATTCCCTAATTAAGTGACACTTTTACTGGATGGGGTGTAAACCGATTTCGACTAGTACAACTGTACCAAGTGAATCATCCTTTGACAAAGATTGCCAACTCTGCTATATCCGGGTGATGTGCACTATGAATAGCGAAGATCTACGTTCGAAGAAGAGCCGAAACTTAAATGTAAGACATTATGGGAGGTACAATACAACCTGAAAGGTGTGAATGCAGATATCGCGAAGTTCATTTTTTTGAATTTTAATTTAGGAAGGGGGAGAACCTACTTAGTCCAATTTTCAATGATCAAGAAGATGACTACTTGACACTACTTTTGTTTCCACGATTTTCGTCAAATAGGTATACTAAACGCAGTATGCGCCTGTGCAGTGTCACACGCAGGAAAAATCCCCACATTCCCAAATTTGTTGCAATGTGCATTATTTTGCTTACACAAAATCGTTGAATCAGAAAATCAAACGAATTGTACATATATTGTTGTGTTTACGCTTGCCCTCTTTAAACGAAGCATATACGTGTATTGTCATGCATCGTACTTCCTCCTTTCCATAAGTGCAAGAATGACACATGTAATAAAGATAGAACTCTTCGCAGAGCGCAGCAGGGGATCAGATAGCTGACAAAACGGTTATTGTCACAGCTAGGTGTCGATACATCCAGTCCTTGTAGCTGCAATACGGAACTTTGGACAGCTGCAATGTTAACCTCGATAGTGAGAGCAAAGGCATGGCTAAATTGAAACAAAACAAATATTGCTACCATGGGCATAGCCTAAAAACAAGACCAAGCAACTGAGTGCAAAGTACTTTTCAAGCTATCGAGGTTGTGCTCCACATATACCAGGTTGTTTCAAAAGTATTGTCCGATTTCCGGATTTCTGATCTAGAATGTAGTAGCTTTTTTCAAAATCACTATTTTTGAACAAATCAAATATTACTAGATTAAGCGAATTTTATGGCTATCATAAATACAATATACCATGTGAAAAGAGACAAATGAAAGAGAAGAGGAAATCTGAGGAAATCTGCAAGTTTTCCTTCAAAACCGTCTATTTTGACATACCTAGGCTCCCAAAGAAGGAAAGGCAGACATGTTTGGTTGTCATCATTAAGAAGCCTATACTTCAGAGATTATTTCATGCCTAAAAAGAATCCAAATTGTCTTTGCTGCACAGAAATTCTCATAAGGAAGAAAAGGCATTATTTGACCACTCCTTCGCGCGGTGGCTATCAGACTTTTAAATGACTTTTTCTTACTGTCGATGAAAAAAGCTAGTTGGCTGATGAGGCCTTCTTGCTCTCGCTTTACTCTAACATATGCAGTATTGAACACATCCTTGTCGGTACACGTAGATTGTTGCCGCTTGTAGAACAACTACTCAGACAATCGCCGGGGGCAGGCGGGCACCGGAAAAATAGATGGCTGATTTCTCGCACCCCGCTCGCGGATGTTTTGGAAAGCAATCAGGACTTTTCGAAAGATCGCTTGCTGAAATCTCGATTTCTCAGAGACTCAGCAATATATCTGCAAAAGATAAGAGCGAAAAAAATTCAACAGGCGGTCTCTCAAAAATCTGCTGACTCTGCAAGCGGTCTTCCGAAAAGTCCTGATTGCTTTCCAAAAAATCCGCAAGCGGGGTGCGAGAAATCAGCCATCTACTTTTCGGTGCCCGCCTGCCCCCAGCGATTGTCTGAGTAGTCTGTCTTCAACATTCTCAAATTTGGAAAGTAAGATATTTCCTATGTAGGAGTAAAAGTGTGCGTATGTCAGCCCATTACACTCTTATCCAGTCAATACTTATATGATATTTGGCTTAGCCACTTTTCATATCTTCGCCCAAAAAGGAGAGAAAGTAATGAAATCTGAGCCAAACTTGGCATGCGTAATACATGCGGTGGGGCATGTGTTACTAAGACATTTTGTTCGAGACCCCACCCATTGCTTCTATCGATTTATTGATTCTTTGCTGTTTTTATTTAAAAAATTCGTTATGTTCGCTCAAAAAGGATAGAAAGAGTAATGGAATCTGAGCCAAATAAGGCATACGTAATGCATGGGGCGGGGTGTGTGTTAATAAGCCATTTTGTTCGGGACATACGGATTGCCTCTATCGATTTGTTCTTGCAGTTTTGCTTAGGAAATTTTCTATGTTCGCACAAAAAAGATAGAAGTCATCGAATCTAAGCCAAGTCTGGCAGATATACTGTATGGGGTGGGGCGTGTTTCAGTAAGCCATTCTGTTTAACCTACCAATTGCCTTTATCATTGACTTTTTGCAGTTTGCGTAGTATACGTTGCTCAGAATGGTGAGTCAAAATGAACTGACAAAGCCGAATGTCCTCAGTTTTTCTTTCTGCGCAAGTTATAAATTTGATTCGTACAAAATGGCGAATTGTCTGCAAATTTTCACATTTCTGCATTAAAGTAAAAAGTAAAAATAAAACGAAAAGACAGGCGGAGCTGCTGAGTATTAGCCGAACCTGTCGCGTAGCGGCAAAGAGCGGCTGGTATAGAATGCTACATCGGTAATTTCCAAATACTGCCGAGATTCTCATCATAGTAACTTTTTGCATGACCGCATTTTGGCAGCTTGGCTTCGGTATTTGCGATTTTACTGCAATGTTGTTTTATCGAAAATTAGCAAGCATTGGAAAGAGCGGGAGAATTGCTTTTAGATGATGTTCATAACACTGCAAAAAACTGCAAAAATCATTCGCTCATTAGCATCTAGCTTTTGATAATTTTTGCTACCTTGACATAACCTTGAAATTCCTAATAAACCCCCGATAAATGGCAAATACAAAGGTCAATGATGAAAAGAAAACAGAAACGGCTTGCATTTCGCATTTTAACGGATACGTCCAGTTCTCATAACTACAAGAGATCTAACATTGTTAACATTCAGACCGGTGCCGCACATGGTGCGGCACGGATTTTTTTGACGTTTACAGGAGGTTTTCTTTTAGTCCAGGGTCATCAAGACGACAAATCAAACTACAGCTACAACAAAGTGCGGCAACTCGAACGACGCGTGCGACGTCGCAACTGATCTTTGCTTCAATTTCAAAGAGAAGAACTGCAGATTCAATAATGATGTGTACTGTGTACAACCTAGATACTTTCGGATACCATTAGAAATTGAGTTCTTAATTCTATCTTTCGAGAAAACACAAAAGTCCACTTCTTTCCCTTAGACGGAATTTTACAATTCCTTAAAGGCAGCGTCCAGGCAGATCTGGACTTATGGAGCTTTTACGTGAAAAGTACTTTTGGAGCCCTAACTAAGGCACTGCCCAAGCGGCAGCTGAGGTAGTGCTCTAATGGCTGAGATATTCCCCTCGAAACTGGCCCCCGCGAACGTATTCGCATGGATTCATGGCAGTTTCGCGCCAGGATCCACGCTTTGCACCATGAATCCATGCGAAACACGGTCGCGGGGTCCAGTTTCGAGGGAAATATCTCGGCCATTACAGCACTAGCTGAGCTGCCGCTTGGGCAGTGCCTTAGTTAGGGCCCCAAAAATACTTTCGACGTAAAAGCCCCATAGATCTAGATCTGCCTGGACTCTGCCTTTAAGCCACCCGTGAGCCAATGATCAGCTCGACAGCCGCGCGCAGCGCGATCGCGGGCTTCGACCTACAATGATACAGTCGATTTCGGGCAGCCGACTTTTGGAACTGCGCAATTTCTATTGAATGGTATTTGGCCCAGATAAACAAATTAACGATATTGGTGAATTATCAAACTGAACTGTATGTGGTAGGACAAGTTTGAACACAGATTACAAATACGTTGCAGTTAGTGTGCGATCAAACTGGCGTCCTGCTTATGAAAGTGATAACGTCAGAAAATAAGATAATTTGATATTAGTGACAACTGATCAACATAAGCAAGCAACACAACGAAGATTGTGTATTTTATATCCATACAATTTTTCATTTCAAGATGCTTCCAGAATAGCAGCGAAAAACCGAACAGTGAGATTGCAATGGAGGTTATCTATAACTAACCGAAACACTATTGATCAAGGTGTCTCAGTATCGATGCGCTTCATATAAGAGGCCGCCAGAAAGCCAAAAATGAGAGCTATAAATATGAGAGTTACCTAAAAGCATCAGCCGATGCCTACTACGCTTGTAAGTAATGGTCAAACAACTATGTGTCGTATTTACACCATAACATGTGCAGAGTAGCCTACAAATTTACAAAGAAGCACATAAAATTGCCCATACTAAAACAAAAGGAGGTCAATTGACGTTTTGGAGACCGTCTCTATTAATCTTGAAATGGCCAATTGAAGAGTCACCGGACATCTATAAAGCAAGTATTTGTAAGCAGCAGTTGGCAATGGGTTTGAAGAGGGAGTTGTAAAAATAAAGGTTTCTCGTAATTTCTACAGTGATGTCACCATTAGCTGTCACCAGGGTCAGTAGTAATTCCTCCTACCTGGCGTATGTTCGAAGACAGGTCGTCGGCACTTTGACGTAAAGCCGGCAAAAACTAAGCTTCCGCATTTAGGTTGTCTGAAGCCTTTTTACAAAAAAATTCCTTGATGAAGACGCCAAGGCAACTTTATAAAAAAGCTACAAAGCCGAGAATTCAGAAACCTCCCTATAAAAGCATTGAAAAGGGCAGGAGGTGCCCGGTAGCTCATCGAAATCTGCGAGGTGGAAGCTCCCAGCCGATCAAAAAGCACGGGGAATAGAGCTCTTTTGATAGAGCAATGTGCTGACATCTCAAAGTGCCCCTACCTCGTATGCCTTAATCAACAATATCCAAAATCCCTATTTTATTCCAAAAATGATCATTTTTTATAATTATTCGAGTTTCCCCTGAAAATTTGTGATGAATATAGAAAATTAATTAGAAAATTAATTTTCTCGAAGAACACCGGAGCATCGCTTCTTTTTTCTCTCAATTATCCATTTTCCATTATTCTCCATTCTGTGATTTTCTGCAGTTACAAGCGCTCCCGATCTTGTATAACCTATAAGGGCCCAAAACTGCGTAAAAATCCCAGCAAACCCGTTATCCGAGGCCTCATAGAAGCAAAGGTATGAGCTGTGCCGCCCTAACTTAACTTTGGCCGTAAGGCTGAATACGTCAAGAAGGATCGCATCGCCTAAAAATACATGTTGAAGAGCAACCGGAAAATAATTCGTCATCTCCAAAACGTGCTTCGCGCCACCTTGAGTACAATTTTCTCGGCGTAGGGAAGACCTAATCAAATGGGACCTGGGCATTGGCATAATAAGGGGATAACTAATAAAAATAAATTCGTGAAAATCCGATATACTCCAAATCTGGTGAGACAGTGCCCCTAAGATGTTATCAAAAACTACCGCTTCAACACTTCTTATTGTTAAGAAAGAATCTGTTGAAACCGACGATAGAATACGAAATACAACTTACGTACAAAATACAACTCAACTCTCATTACAGCCTAGTAAGAAACTCACCTTTGAAGAACAGATTGTTCTCACATCTTCCCTTTCTCTCCTCAGTATCACTCGTCCATGCATTTGCTGTATCCAACTCCTATAGAGTTCGTTTTTCTCGTCATCCTCCTGTACTGTCTAAACAACACAATTGCGAAGTTTAGAGATGTGCGTAGTGAAGAAATCTCACACAGCTGATGAGTACAACAGTGCAGCCGATGTTTGCGAGATTGCCAATGCGATTTGTGATTACCGCCATGATAGCTGTTCCTAAATTCACATGATGCGATAATTGAGTAGCCTCGGAAAGACATGATCAGAGGCAAGTATGGCTGAGAGATAGTATCTTTATCTGCTTATTTGACTCAAGGGTGTACGTCAAGAGATGCGACTCCTATTGCCAAATGGACACCAAGCAGCGCATTTTTAGTGTTAATGACGTATAAAACCTTTCAAATTTCTGAAAAATATATAAGATCGTTGCATGAATTGTTAACCTTATTATCTTCAAGTAGATTGAACACGTTGATATTCAAGCTCAGAAATTCTTGAGAATGCATAAAATATTTTGTAAAGATTTCGATCATTTTTCACCAAAAGCTGACTTAGCACTCGGTTACTTCAGGTAGCTAGTAAGCTGTAAACTTTGTCTGCTATTTTCAAAAAATGTACATAGCTCTAAACTGGGCCATTGTGTTGGGGACCTTTGGAAAAAGCGCGTCTCCTGACCGTCCCCCAAGCATTGAGCGGGTGATAGCCAGAGTGAGGCGCACATCCTCAGAGTTTGCGCTTATGCTTGGGAGTAATGAATTCGGGAAAACGAGAGCAGGGAAGAGCGGAAGGGGGAGGGTAAATGAAAGAAGTAAGACGCTTCATGTGCTTAATATCATGCTTCGGTTTGCATATAACTTCGTTTGTGTAATTATTCATTCTCTCCACTCCCTCCGTTTGATAAGCAGACCTGAAACTATATTGCCGAAACGGCTACTAAATGCGTACGAACCTTTGCACTAATTTAACGGTTCGTTTGGATAATAATGCACTGCTGTAAATCTTCGAGGCTATGGTTCCCAATTAATTCACCTAGATGGCTTGGCCCAGGGAAAAGAAGATAGAAGGTAAGATATTGGTAGAAGATAGTCAAGTCTCATAGCGCAATTTTATTCAGGCTCTGTGCCCCACAATGCATCCATCTGTATGATTTCCGAGCTTGAGCTATGAAGTTCTGACAAAATTTATGTATGTGGATGGACCTAAAAAAGCAACCCCACAAAATGTTTTTGCTGTTACGCTCAAAATGTTTCTGCTGTCACGCTAATTGTTGTCTTAGGGCCGCATGCACTAACATCCCCGCGGGGAGGGGATCGCAGCTTAAAAGAAAGCTTCATATTTCGAAACTCCAGATACTTGGATTTCACGTTGTGTAACTATCCGTAAGTATTCCTACTATCCTTCACTATGGACATGTTGAACAGGAGCGAGAAGCTGTACAAACCGCATTTTCCAGCTTTTGTATGATCGCTGATGATCCCCGGCGCTTTTCTTTGAAGTCAATTTTCTTTCTCCGAAGTTAACGAAAATCTTCCAAAGTTGTACTGAACATCTAACACAACAGTGCTAAGCATGTTGCTGATGAGAACAAATGATGTTTTGAAGTCATGAAATTTTCGATAGTCCACAGGTCAATTTGGGGTATACCGACAAATTCGATTTTTCAAAAATTCATTTGTTCTCATCAACAACATGCTTATCACTGTTGTGTTAGATGTTCAGTATAACTTTGGAAGGTTTTCGTTAATTTCGGAGAAAGAAAATGACTTTGAAGAATAGACCGTTCGTCCCCCGGGGACCATCAGGGGGTCCTACAAAAAGCTGGGAAATGCGGCTTGTACAGCTTCTCGCTTCTGCTCAATATGTTCATAGTGAAGGGTGGTGGGAGTACTTACGGACATGTAGACAGCGTGAAATCCAGATATCCGGAGCTTCAGGATACGAAGCTTTCTTCTGAAGCTGCGATCCCCTCCCTAGCGGAAATGTTAGTGCATGCGGCCCTTAGAGATCACAAATTGGTATATCTGCTACAAGTCCACATCCTACTCTAGAGACTTCACATTTTGCTCACGAAAATTGGTTCCTGATCTGTTCTTACTCCAGACTGTCAAGATACTGAATTTGTGTACAGGTCGGGGAACAGTTCTTGGACTCGATTTCATTATCTTGACCACGAGACTAGGCAGAATAATCGGCGAATCCAATAAATAATTTTTGCTCAGCAGGCTGTTACATGGTTGCTTATTCAAAGATCCTCCTTCAAAGCTACAAGCATGAAGACGCTTGGGAAGGCTAGGCTGTGCGCGGTGGCACCACACGTCGATTTCCTCCCATGCAACATCAAAAGCATGTTGCAGCGACTCCACAGTCTAGTGCGCGTGCTTATCTTCTTCGTCAATCTTTGCTGTTGGCTTCTTTTCGTGAATCAGAGATGATCCTGTCTTTTGGCGGTTAACAACCTGCTCCATATCAAAAAATTCTTGTCAAGAAAAAAAAAAGCGTCTTAAAATGGCGTGCTTTGAGGAAACTTTGAGCGGAGACGGAATCGTAGAATTTAGCCAACTTCATACCATCCAAAAGGTACTTCTGCATGTAGAACTTTCCTAGGGCTTATCTTCGCAATGTCTGCGGTGGTCCTACCACTGATGGACAGCTCTGGAACTGGCTCAGTCAAGTTCCTCTAAAAATTTCGACTAACTTGTTCTCAGTTTATTTTTCGGCTCGCAGCATGTTCGCAATAGAGGGCATTCTGCATTATCCTTTTTCACAAAAGACCTTAGGAATTACCGACCGATCAGCTTGCTAAGTGTGCTTTACAAGCTGTTCACGAAGATCATCATATCGCGTATTTCAAGGATATTGGATGAAGCACAACCGACTGAGCAAGTCGGATTCCGAAGAGGATTCAGCTGCGTCGATCACATCCAAACCGTCTCAAGGGTAGTAGAGGTCTGCCGTGAATACGTCCCTACTCCCCACCTTCGTCGATTATGAAAAGGCCTTCGATAGTGTGGAAATCAACACCATTTTAACTGCTTTGGTCGACCAAGGCGTGGACCAACATATGTAAAGACTATAGCGGACTGCAACGAAGAATGTACCAGCACGATGTGTCCCCTTGTCGCCAAAGCTGTTTACCACAGTATTGCAATAGTGCTGCAGTCGCTCTTGGGGAACGAAGGAGATTTGTGTGGATGGAAGGTACCTTTCAAATCTCTGTTTCGCAGACGATATCATTTGTTTTCGAAGTTTATCAACAAAGCCGAAGAGATGCTGAACGAATTGAACGAAAGCGGGGAAGGATTGGGCCTAGGATAAATAGAAAGAAGACGCAGTTCATGAGTAACACCTGGTGTAATAAAGGTCAATTATTTTTGGCTGAAGCGCCGATAGAGGAGACCTCACTTTACATTTACCTTGGACGTGAGGATAAACTCAGCTGAAGACAGAGAGCAGCTTGGGCAGCATTCGGTCCTCTCAGAAAGGCTAAAGTCAATCTTGCTGATCCGTAATTACGCGCTCATCTTTTCAATGCGACAGTTCTTCCGGTTTTGTGTTATGCAGCCAAAACATGGGCTGATACCTCAGCAACCGTGAAGGCACTACGAACGGCACACAGGGTACTCGGTAGGAAACTTCTGAAGATGACCAAGTTCAGACAGTACCGACTTGGAATCCGAAGCCCTGACCTCAGACAACTATCGCGTTTGGAAGATCCCGCAGAGTACGTATTAAAAAATAAGCAAAGATGGGCCAGTCATATATTGGGAAGAGAAGACGACAGATGGACAAAAAAGCGTTAATGGATTCCAAAATCCTCGAAACGTTCAAGTGGAAGACCACCGAAGGAGATCGTGTGACGAATTTGTTGTCCGTGTAGACCAACCGCATCAGCAGTTGAAGTTCAATTCAGTTCAATTCAACGCCGAGTTATGACCGTTCTTAGGAACGAAAAATGAATGCAGAATTTAGGTAAAATTGATTGTTACAATCTTTCCAGCGCTCAGATAAAGCAATGTTAAGTATTAGCATATTGAATAAAAAGTATTCATTGCATAAACAGCTCTGATACTTGACACTGGAGCATTTAAGCAAATATGGGCGATTTTGCTTCAGTTTTGCGTTCAATTTTTTGACCTGAAAAACGAGCATAACTCGGCGTCCAGAGGCGCTTGGCAGATTTGGAAAGCAGATTTGGAATCATCGATTAATGCTCTTCAATGCAGTATGCGTCCATCTGGAAAGGCCACTTCGACTCGACACGGTTCCCTTGTAAGTAATCTAAGTAAGTAAAAAGGCACGTGCGCAGTGGCCAGCCTACAATTTCTAGGAAGGCCCCAAATGCTGTTTGTCTCTTGAATGGGCGCTGAGTGAACCAGACTGTATTTGGAAAGTTCTGAGAGTTAGTCAATCTGTTGTTAAGCCTTCCAGTCGCGCACACCCACGATCAGCTCGATTGAGAAAGCATAATTTTGGCAAGAGTAAAGTGATCATTCAATTTTTTAAGACCTTATATAAGGTTTGAAGATTAGTTACACGAAAGATAAGACAAGATGAGGTGATATACCAAAGTTTTTTTTCAAAGATCCCCCAACCATGTACTTCATATAGCTAATAGCGGGTTATAGTGGATTCTTTCTGACACTTGCTACACTTCCGGATGGGGGATATTTTTTTCGCGTTCAAACTCTCAACATATGAAGAGTTTGAACCCGAAAGAAAGGGAAGAGGTTTGGGTTGGAGCGCAGGGAGCGATACGTATTAGATGATAGTACCGATTTATACTTCGGCTTGACGATCAACGTAAGTTTGCTAAGGCCCCGGACAGACTTCACGCGATTTGATCGTCGCGACTCAATCGCCAACATTTCCATCCATTTTCATTTAACATTCAAAAATTTCGGGCTGGGAAAGTATCACAACCGGAATGCAGGTTGATCGGCATGAAATAATGTTGTAACAGTTGTCTCGTCGCGATTCAGTCGCGACGATCAAATCGCGTGAAGTCTGTCCGGGGCCTAAGGAAGTCAGCATGGTCAAATCGTTTGAAGGAGAACTCGAAATGAACAATTTTCACTCAGATGCAATTCATGTAAGTACTGTGTGTACTCTACGAAGATTGAGCTGCATCCTGCAAGAACAATAGCTCACTTGTCATGTTTTCGTCAAGTAATCGCTCGTCCATCATTTCTGACATGTTGTCGATAACAAGAAGACGGATGCAGTACTCTTCAAAATAATCCTGAACTTGGCACACGTTAGCAAAGTTTTTTTTTGTGAAAAAATAACGTCAAAAACAAGACTACGTTTACTTTCGAGTCGTCGACCGCACGGACCGCGGACCACACGCGACGCGATCAATGCGAGAGCACGACGTGTGCCATGGCAATTGTGTTATCTACCTCGCGTCGCGTGCTCCTCAGTGATTTTTCGTCCGGGCGGTCAAAGACTCGATAATAGGACGGGTTATGTAGGGCCGCTGTTACGTTTAGGTCAACTGCTACCAAGAATGTCGCAGCGACCTTTTTTCGCGTAAACTAGGCAAGAAGAGCACATTGCCAAGTTCCCCGTATCATCATTTATTCACCCGCAGATACTGCTAGCACCGCAAAGACACCGTATGAACGTCCATATCAGGGCTCATCAGAGATGGCGCTTTCACAGGCTGGATGTCGTTTTCTTCAGAGAAAAGCAAAAGGGAACTCGTAGTGTTTCCAGGGATGGTTCTAAGAAATCTGATACAATGTTAAAAACACAAAGCTAACCTTAGTAAGCCCTTATTTCAACTCCGACGTCGTTTCAGTAGTAACAGGTAGATCAATACGTTACAAACAACCATGCTTAGACCCGTGTGCACACGATTTCAACGTATTAAATCACAATCTTTTTGCACAAAAAACAATTAGTCCGTTTACAACCGGTAAGCAATATTGAGCCACCAAATTTGGTGTGTACCTCCCGGCGACGATCACAAGGAGAGTATAAAAAATTTTGAAAAAAACATGCGTGTTTTTCTAATTTGGGTTGCTCCCGCGCAACCTTAGAGCACCCTGAGATTGCGCGGAACTAAACAAAATCATAATTTTCTCCCTTCTTCACATAACATTCCAGAATTTTTCTATAATTCTATTCCTCAGTTCGAACTTTATCTACAAATACTCTCGTCTTAAACCAGATTTCGTCTCTTCTGCTTTGTTATGGTCCTTGAATGGTATAAAAAATGCCTTTTTTAAGTGGTGCTGTTTTATGTCCGATTTTCCTTGCCTATTCTTAACTTCCATAAACTCATCGTTCGCTCTAGATTATTAGCCGTACTTTCACAAATACCACAACATTTCATAATCTTCCGCAATCCAAATGGGCCTTTGTTTTCGAAATTCTCAAGTGCCACCTCCTGCTGGGCCCTGCTTCATATTTGCTAGCTTCACGCTCTCCAACTGTGAAAGTGGTAATGCGAGGTAACAACTTACATCAACAAGTTCCAGTGCTTCTACGAGTTCTAGATGATCGGCGATATGAGTTACTGCCACGCGTTCCAGCAGTGTCTCCTACAAAAGCAATATAGTATAGCAAACAAAAAGGGACTCTTGTTCCAAGAGCATGTCATATGCACTTCCACGGAGCAAGTGAACATGTTATACCGATACGACATCTTATCAGAATTATGGACTTTTTTATGAACCCTTGAATCTTTCGCAAACTCTGAACTGAAGCGCTGAGTGATGGTAGAGGGCTAGGCGAGCATACCGACTATGGCGGTAACCTCAGAAAACACCCCTGGATTTGTCGATTCTAAGATTTCGCAGACTATGGAGTGAAAAGCTGGGATTTGGTACTGATGTGAGAAGTAAATGAGCGTGCTTACGAAAAGCAATGGATAGGAGGTATACAGAAGTAGAAAATATTAGGGTGATCCAAAAGTAATGGGGCAGCTAGAGAATAAATACAGTTTTCTCAAATAGAAAAGCTAATTGGAAGTCCAAGTTTTGGCAGATGTTAGCACATAACAAAACCTTTTGATCGAGGTCTATAGTTGGGCACTGTCACATGGCGTTAATTCTATAAGCGCTAAAAATTAAAGCTCACCACTTCAAGTAATTTTGAACTTTGAGCAGCAGCGCCGCAGTAAAACATGTGAGCCTATCAAGGATACGTGCGCAGCAATGGGTGTGGGGACCGTCATCAAATCCACAATAGCTCGGTGGTCCCAAGGCTTTAGAACAGAAGATATAGCATCGGGCATTAGAAGACATATTACTTATTCTTTCATCAAGGTAATCAAATAAGCCCAAACTTAGCACTTGCCCTCTGATAGTGCCTTTTACGCTCTATCCATACATGTGCAAATTACGTCGACTTTTTTCATTTTCAAAAGATTGTGGTCCAAAACATGAATTTTAGTCTGAAAATCTGCGCCAAACACCGCACTTTCTCGAATAAAGTGCCTTTTTTGTATAAAATAATGGGCAATTTTTGGATACTCAAGTAATCATTAGAAAGAGCTTGGAAAGCTCTTTCGAATGGTATGCCTTATGTCGAGGGACTTTCAGGTGCAGCAGTTTAAATTAGGATGGCGTTCAAAAAAGTCTGTCTGACTTCTTTGAAGCGCCACTCGAAGAAATGTCGGTGAGGTGCTGCAAGGTGCTGTCAAGATAACCTGCGAAGGTCACTTTATATAAAGGCGTTAAAAACGCTGGACGTTCATAGCTAATCAGAAAGAAATCTTGGAAAATGTTTAAAAAAATCAAGGTGCCCCATTACTTTTGGATCACCCTAATAGAAGTAGAATAGGGAATGTCGTGTAGAAGTAGACGGATATTGGTGAGTTCTATCATGGTAGGCATGAGACGAGCGGAGCCGATACTAGGAGTCAAGTATGACTAAGAGATTATATAACTCACGAACGCATTGTCGTCGATCTCTTCCATGCCCAGGAGAAACTGTCGCAATCGATGAGCTCGAAAAGACCCATTCGAATCAAACCAAGCCACGCTGAACGTTGTATGGAGGAGGAAGCGCGCGACAACAGCATAACATAACTGAAATTGATAAATTTGTTGTAAAAAGACCCTTGTAAGACGATTACTGTGGCCAGTTTTCTTCTGCCTCTGGCCTCGGGCAGAGCTCACGCAATTTCATCGTTGCGATTCATCGCGACAAGACAACTATAGCAATGTCATTGCATGCCGATCTTCTTGCATTTCGGTTGTGATAGTTTTCCACCACGACTAATCGTGATAACCAGAGTTAAGCAAAAGGTCAGGCACAAGTCGTTCGGAAACGACCCCCTCCCCTTCCAGGAAAACCCCCAAACGATCCCCTCTCAATCCTCTCCACCTCCGGAACCTCAGAGTGTGACACTCTGGACAAGACGAGTCTGTCCTGCAGAGTTTTTGAATTTTAGGAAACTGCATGATCGTTTTTCTGTGGTTGCACATTACAAGTACACCAATTTGAGGCCGATTGATGTGAATCGCCTTATTGAACGAGCCAGAACTTCCCCAGGGGTGAGTCCAAATTTCCCAGAGTCCAAATTTTCACCGAGGCAAGAAGAGGCTATGAGCTCAATATTCATACAAAGATTGGACTGATTTCTGAATTTTGAAGACAAGTTCAGTGGGTCAGGCGCAAGGCTAAAAAGCTCAGGCGGCCTGACCTTTTGAGGGGTTGCGCCCGACCCTATTAACTTTATCTCCAAAGACGCTTTTTCATCCAAGTTTTATGAAATTCGCTAGCACAAACCTCGAACATTCTACAGTAGATGTTTGAGCATAGCTCGAGTTGTTTCGGCTTTGTGGTATTCCGCGGAGTCGGCGCGCTCAAGGTGAAAAACGCGATGTTTGGAATATAGGCAGTACTTCCTAATCCACTATTTGAAAGCGATATAAATTCGTATTTCTAGTATAGACTGATAGAGAACATTAATTCGTTAAAAGTAAAAAAAGCTGACTTTTTTCAATTTTGAAACCAAGTTGATCATGTTTGAATTTCAGGCTTTTTAGACGATAGAAAACGCTGGAAAATGTAATGGGTAATGGTCTTTAGTGCTAGTAGAGATGATTTGATATGCTAATTACGGAGACTATACTCAATTTACACAGCAAGCTTTTCTGGTGACCTTAGTAGTGTCAGGTACGGGGTGGAGCATTGAAATTTGGCTGACAATTAATATGCTGCTCGCGACAGTCATTCCTTCAATTCTATTGGAGTTGTGATATGCATCGTTCTGAAGCTTTACTTCTTCACCTCACTCAATCGTAGTATTTCCTTAGTTGTGATCGAATTCGATTCTTGATTACGACCCCCCCCCCCCCTCATTCTTTCCACCAATACGACCCTCCAGGTCGGGTGCGCCTGACCTCACGTTCAACACTGGTGATAACTATCACAACCGAAATACAAGAAGACCGGCATGCAATGAACTCGTAATACTTGTCTTGTCGCGATGAATCGCGAATGAAATCGCGTGAACTCTGCCCGAGGCCTATCGCGGGATATCATAGTGGGAAATGAACAAAAAAAGTTTGAGCAACAGCGTTCTAAACACATCTTTAGCAAATCGCTAATTTCCAAGGGTCCGACGGCGGTCCAGTCCTGGCTGCTTTTCTCATTGTTATGTGTCGTATACTTTGGACTGAATCGAATATTTGTTTGAGTTTTCGAATGGAGTATTCGGAATCGATTCGAAAATCTCAGAATCTCGAATATATTTGATATTTGCTACGAAATTCAGCAGATTTGAATCCGTATTCCTGCTATACTTCTCAGTGTTTCCAGCAATGCTGAAAAAGCTAGATTATGCACTCATAAACTAAACTGCACCTATAAACACTCATACTCACTCTTTAGTATGCTTGATTTATTGTGAAAAAGGTAACTCCGGCATCACAGACTAAAGCGTTCAAAACAAATTTTTTCGTGAACGCTTCTGATCACAGCATTATGGTTGGTGCCAGCGCAATGTATCTATTAGGTTGTCCCATAAGTCTTTTCATTTTTGAGTTATCGCTGTAATAATTCATACACTTCTCATTCTATATAGATATTAGAATATCATTCGATAGAGCAAAGCAAGCTCTATAAGATGGCATAAAAGCTTTTGCATCAGCTTCGATACACCTCAAGTTTGAAACCAAAATCTAAAGAGTTTCGGGTGCTCAGAAAATTAAAAGAATTTTATATCTTCGTTCAGAAAACTCCTACAGACCTCTCACTCGCTCACGCATATACACTGCACATCAGACACTCATATATGCTGTTGCTGTATTTTTTTATAGCTAGAAATCAAAAAAAGAAAAATCTCTATGTTTTTACCAAAGACATGCTGTGCTGTTCTTGCACTAACAGTTTGTATACTACGAGCCCTTAAAAGTGCACCCGCAAGTTTTCAACTCTCTTTATGCTGTAGTTTCCAAGAAATATCGAATTTAGCTTTTCTCATCCGGGTTTTCATGCTTAACTTACCATCTCTCGGAAACCAAAACTTATAGAAAGCTAAAAATTTGCGGTTCACTTCTAAGGGCTTGTATATTGGTTAGTGGTTGGGATATACTCAGAACTATAAGGCTTCGAACACCAAATGTGAACCACAACCAAGGATATTGCCACCCGGGACTTCGTATACGCACGAGCACACCTCAAACATGGGTAACTAAACTTTAACTGGCAGTAAAAATAGCAACAATAAACAAGATTAAATAGATAACAAAGTGAAATGAATACTAAATGAGATCTAAACTACAAAATATAATGAATTGAGAGAAGGCAAAAGTAAATGACTAGGCCAATGTAGACGTAAGTGGTGAAAGCTGTAGAAGCGATTGATACTGACTGTGCACCGCCAGCTACTTATATGCATGAAACCAAATCGTCTAGGCACAGCTGTGCATGAATTCACAGATACACCAAAGAAATGGTAGAAATCACATTTGATGCTAACATCTGCACATTCCTACAATAGCAAAAAGTGCAAGGTACTAAATTCATCGTTGCTGTACAAGTGGCAAGAATTACTCAACCACACAAACTGATGCAAATAATCCTCGCATTTTGGGACAGATAAGAATAATACGAATTGCCAAGTTCGTATAGCTTGTAGTATACAACTGTTAGTGTAAGAACAGCACAGCATCACTTTGGTGAAAACATGCAAATTTTCGGTTTCTTGAATTTCTAATAGAGAAAAAAATACGGCATAGGGGTGTTTGATGTGGAGTGTATATGCTTGAGCGTGTGAAAAATCTGTGTAACTTTTCTGAACAAAAATATAAAAAAATTTCAATTTTCTGGGCAACCGAAACTCTTTAGAATTTGGTTTCAAACATGAGGTGGATGCTGGTGCAGAAGCTTTTATGCCATCTTATAGAGCTTGCTTTGCTCTATTGAATGACATCCTAATGTCTATTTAGAATGAGAATCGTATGAATTATTAGAGCGAAAACTCAAAAATGAAAAGACTTATGGGACAACCTAATGTTTACAGCTAGGTTTAACTCGTATTTACGGGTTTCCGCTTGATGACACAGTAGAGAGGTGCAATTTGTTGTGAAGTGAGGACCTAGAGCCTCATAGTATGACCCCGCACGGTGCCTCTTAAAGGCAGCGTACAGGCAAGTCTGGACCTATGGGGATTTTACGTGGAAGGTACTTTTAGGGCCCTAACTAAGCCACTGCCCAACCGGCAGCTCAGGTAGTGCCCTAACGGCTGAGATATTCCCCTCAAAACTGGACCCCGCGACCGTGTTTCGCATGGCTTCATGGCGCAAGGCGCGGATCCTGGCGCGAAACTGCCATGAATCCATGCGAATACGTTCGCGGGGGCCAGTTTCGAGGGGAATATCTCAGCCATTAGAGCACTACATGAGCTGCCGCTTGGGCAGTGCCTTAGTTAGGGCCCCAAAAGTACTTTCCACGTAAAAGCCTCATAGGTCCAGATCTGCCTGGACGCTGCCTTTAAGGAGTCGAAAATCCTTCTGCACAAAGTGAGTGGATGTATGTATGCGCACTTGTTCTGCAGTTATGTATCAAGATCTTCGCAGTCTGTCGAATTTTATTCAACTTACTGTTTATAGGAATGTCATGCACTCGAAAAACCCTCAGTTTCCCAGCTTTTGACTTCACTTATTACGCACTCTTCTAACAATAAGGTGTTAAATGATCTTTGCCTTACAGATACTTTCTGTATCCTCTTTCATTGCCTCCTCTTAATACCCATGTTTTCGATTGACACTGTTGTCGTTTGTGATACCAATTGTATTTGTCGTATTTGTCGTTTTGACACCGTTTATATGTGAAATATTTTTTGTCTTATCTCATCAGTAAAGATCGATAATATCTACTAACTTAATTTCATTGATCTTTTTTTTTCGCAAACAAGAAGTGTGCTATCATCTTGTTTTTCTGGTCAATTTTTTTTATCTAGAAGATCTACCTAAAGGATATTTGTTGATGACTGCCCCGACGCGTGCAATTACACGTGGGCGTGCCGTTTTGAAGCCTTTCCAGCTTGACAGTACGTGCATCGCGTGGGGACTCTGTAGCTTGCAGAACACTGTCCTTTAACCTCTTTTGTTGAATCAAGCATTTCGCATCGTTTTTCTTTCTAGCTTTTACATGTTAGGCACTACTATTGTTAGGTGTTACTTGTCATTCGTTTCCCCTCTCTCTTCCGGTGATCAAATATCCTACTTTCTCCTTGATGAATACTGAAAGGTAGGGAAAGAATTAGTTTGGGCACATTCTCTGGGCTTCTCTCCCTTTTTAACTACCGTTCATTTCCAAGATCGCGAGCCATCGTCCCAGGCAAAATTAGGTGAAAGGATGCTCGTTTAGAAGCATTGGTGGTTAGCATGCATTTTCCTTAGATAGGACCACTTGAATTTTATTTCAGCAATCCCACATGTGGTGTCCTTCATGTAGAAGTGCTGAATAACCACCACTTCAGTGGTCTGTCCTAAGAAACACGTCAAATTATTATGAAACATTGACGAAAACATGCAATTCCAATCATAGCCGTGATCTTACCACGCAACTACAAAAAAAAAGCTTGTTCCTTCTTCTAACTTTGTTTGCGGCGATGATCCCACATAGAGATTAGAAAGAGTGACTGCCTGAAATGAAAACCAAGAAGGAAAATATGTGACATACTTGGAAAACGAAATAGATTAAAGGACAGGGATGCTGCGAGCTACCAAGTCCCCGCGCGCTGCAGTGTACTGTCAATCTGGAAAGGCTCCAAAAAGGCACGCCCACGGTGGTGCATTTGCACGAGTCGGGGCAATCGTCAACAAATATCCTTTAGTCTAATTTTCTTACCTAATCAACTTATTTCATTTGATACTGTGTTTATCACGATTCCAGCGTCAGGCTGCTCACCCAAAGGAAGCAAGCGACAAGGCCGGATGGAGAAGACACCACGTCGCATCAGATGCTCTTTTAAGTCTCAACAGAATTCTCGTATGAAAGCTGGGGCGTTCTCCGGAGGCGACGCGCAAGCCCGACGGATGCGGACAGTAGGCGAGAATTACCGCCTCAGCGAGGTGAACGGGGACGGTCAAAGAAGCTAGTTCAAGAAGATTTAAGTTCTCGGCATTACGTCTAGCTACCATCAACGTCGATTCTCTCACTCTCGACATCGCGAACTTGCTGATCTTCTCAGAAGACGCAAAGTAAACGTTGCTTGCATTCAGGAGACCAGATGGAAGGGGGAAAAAGCATGGGATATCGGAGATGGTTACAAACTTCTGTACAAAACGAACAACAACAGGAACGGTGTCGTATAGTCGTCTCTGAAGCGTTGCGTCAGCTCGATACCACATGAAGAGATGCTTCTCATCGGTGCAGATCTCAATGGGCACGTAGGGGAACAACGAAGCGGTCTACAGAAGTGCCATGGCAATCACGGGTATGGAACGCGTAATGATGAAGGAGAACGTATCCTAGAATTCGCTACAGCTCATGACTTAGCCTTGGAAAACACACACTTCATCAAGAAGACCAACCACCTCGTCACGTACGCCAGTGGAGGACGCAAATCACAGATAGACTTCTGGAGTGTACGATACAACAAGCTGAAGTACGTGAAAGACAGCAAAGCCATCCCAGGTGAAGATTGCGTGCCACAGCATCGACCACTAATACTAGATCTCAATATACCAATTGATAGGAAAAGGAGGGCTACGACAGAAACTGGAGTACGCATCAAGTGGTGGAAACTCAGAACGACGCCCGTACGAACGCTAATGGAATCTGCCTTGCCAGAACTGGGTAGTGATCCAAACCATTCGTAGACGATTCTGAAGAACAACATCCATCAGATAGCTGACGATCTACTTAGGCGCATGAAGTGATGGTGGAACGATGAAGTGCAGCTAGTGATAAAGAGCAAGAAGATGGCGTACAGACCATGGCAAAAGACAAGGGCAGAAGATGCATACCAGAAGTACGTCGATTCATGACACGCAAAGACTGGGCGCCGTTGCGTCCGACGAAGATAGTTTGTGCATGGGAGAGACAGCAGACGGTAAGAGAAACGAAAGAGCGCTCGATCACGGAGATGCCGATATGTCCGCAGTCTTTGTGTGCTACGAATCGCCTATACCTAGAAGCGAAACGTGAAGCCAAGAAGAGAGTCAGAGAAGCGAAAGAAGCATATGGAGCAGAACTGTACGGCAAACTGCGTACTCGCGAAGGTGAACGAGAAGTCTATCGGATCGCTAGAAGAAGAGGAAATGCCGCAGAGGACGTTGAACACTTCTACCACATCAAGGACGCGCACGGAAGAATTCTGAGGAAGCCTCAGGAGATCAATGAAAGATGTAGAGAACACTTCGCAAAGATGGCTCCAGCTACTCAGATAATCGCCGGGAGCAGGTGGCCATGCAAATTTTGAGCAAGCGGGCACCGGAAAAATAGTTCGCTGATTTCTTGCGGCCCGCTTGCAGAAATTTGGAAGAATGTTGACCAATTTTCAGACAAATGCTTGGGGAACTATTGCGGTTTTCCTATAGATTAGTTGCGGCGCATTGGCCGCATTCTCGCGGACTTTCCGCGAGAAGTTTCTCTTAGCGGAAAGTACTTGAGGGCCGCGCGGTCCTTTGTGGAGGACGGCCGCACAGCCCTCAGGTACTTTCCGCTAAGAGAAACCTTAAACTTGAGTAATCAAACCATCGATGACACCTCTGCAGCATAGAGTGTCACATTTGCTCGACGTACGCCCGAAACTGCTTAAAGAGAGTCCGAGCGCCTGCTGAAAGTTTGGCCAGCGCTCGCTGAAAGAAATATTTTGACGAGCGCCTGCAGAAAATTCTGTGTTGCTGCCCGCTAGCAGGACATTTGACAGTAAAGAAGGTACCGCCCGCTGAAGGTTTGGCCACGCCCCAAAATTCTGCTGATCGCCTGCCCCCCACGATTATCTGAGTAGCAACGAATATGCGTCCACCATAACATCTGAACCTGTGAATGGACCAGTATCAGCCATAACTGAAGATGAAGTCCGTACCGCCATAATGAAGACAAAGAACGGCAAGGCGACAGGCTCCGACGACATCCCCAGCGAGTTCTAGAAGGAGTGTGGGCAGGCTGGAGTTTCGTGGCTAACGCGTCTTCTGAATCAGATAATCGAGTCCAAGAAGATGATTGGCACATAAGCACAACGGTACCAATATGGAAAAATAAATAGGACGTAGCTGACTGCTCCACCTACCACCTATCCGTCTCATGTGCCACACGCTGAAGATCTTCGAAAGAATACAAAAGATGCGACTTCGAAGTATCGTGATGCTGGCCTCCAACCAGTGCGGATTCGTGAAAGGATGCAGCACGACAGATGCCATTCACACCGTCAGAATGATGATGGAGAGAAGCGGAGAAAAGCAATGTGAGCTCCACGCGGCATTCCTGGATCTTGAGAAGGCATCGACAGAGTACCGCACTACGTAATATGGTGGGCACTGCGGAAGCACGAGGTACCAGAAGAATATGTTCGGTGTTTCAAAATGATATACAAGGATGCCACCAGCTACGTAACGGCAGCAGGACGTACAGAGGACTACTACATAGATGTCGGTGTACACCAAGGATCCGTACTCTCCCCTCTACTCTTCATCACAGTGATGGACACGATAGTCAGAAGCTTCGTGAACCCATCTCCTTAGACCGTCATGTACGTATGATGTGCTCCTGATGGCAAGAAGCAGGAAGGATTTGGAGACGGACGTAGCAATGTGGAAAGAACAGCTCGAACTACGCGGTCTAAAGATCAACATGGCCAAGACAGAGAACATGGAGCTGGGACTTCAAAGGCCAGAGACGATCCAGATTACAGGCACGCAGATCAAGAAGACCACGTCCTTCAAATACCTTGGAAATGGCATCGCGGCAGATGGCACGCTCGAAGACGAAATAACCACGTATAAACGCAGCATGGCTGAAATGGAGAAGTCTCACAGGAGTGCTATGCGATAAACGGATGCCGCTCAAGCTGAAATCCCAGATGTACCGCACTGTCGTCCGCCCAACCGCGCTGTATGGAATGAGTGTTGGCCGTGCACACGTAAGGATGAACGAAAGCTTGGTGAGGAAACGCACGATACGATGGACGATGGATGTCACGATGCTCGACCACGTCACTAATGATACCATTCGAACAACGATGAAAGTGGCCCCAATAACCAAGAAAGTGCAAGAAAGGAGGCTTAGATGGTACGGCCATGTCAGAGAAGGCGAGAGGAAGACTAGCGATGTCAGCAGAGGTCCCTGGCAGAGACCACGAGGAAGACCCAAGTTGTGATGCACAGACAGAGTCAAGTCAGACTTAAGAGAGCTTGGAATAGATGAACGTCAAGCATCAGATCGTGAAATATGGAGGAGACTAACAAGAGTGGCAGACCCCGTATGGGAATAATGCAAGGCTAAAAAAACTGTGTTTACCTCGTGCTTATTGCTCAATTGCTTTATATTTCCCCTAGAAATTGCAATTTCTGTTAATATTAACTGAAAAAAATAGTACTAAGTCTAGTAGCGTTTCTCCTTTCAAAAGAAACACTAACTTCAAGTGATTTTCAGTGTCAGAGCGAATTTAAGTGAGTTTCGAGAATTACAATAGGTTTTAGAGCTAGTTAGAGCTGATTACGGTGTGCCAATGCTCGCCGAACTCACTGATTGTGTTCCGCGGAACGTAAGGGATGAAGGATTTGCGGACGCTCCACGAAGCAAATGGGGAAGTGCCGAGGAGGAGCGCCAGGCACTCCCCCCTTGTTTGGAATAAGTGCCTGAGTTAAATCACTGAGTAAAATTCTTCCTCCGAAGCGCACATTGTGGGTCGCATTCTAAACATTTCAAACTACCTGTGCAAGACTTTGAATCACTACCAGTGCTGTGTACAGAGAAAAATCTACATACTTAGAAGAATATAGAAAGTTGGTAGTCCAACCTGTGTTTTGCCAACGCCAGATTCACCAGCTATCTGTGATACTTTTCCATATTGCAACACGTTTCCCAAGATAGCATCGGCACTAGTTAAACCAGTGCTTAGGGTTAGCGAAACGCCCAATGCTACCAGTGCATCAACGGCTGATTCCTTAGTTGACATTCAGATGGCTAAGCCTGAAAAAGGATTTTCGTAAGGCCTAAGGTATACCTCACGCGATTTCAGTCGCCACGCGATTTGGCACTGTAACGACTCTCCATAGCTGGTCGTAAACGCACTTTGCTTGGGCCAGACTTGCTGTGTTTGTTACAATTTACGGAATTCGCACCCATACATCTGAGGGCCTCGCTTGCTCAATCTCTAGACATCTGGCAAATCGCCAAGTCGCGAGGATGTGGCGATTTCGAGAAATCGCGAGAGGTATGCCTTAGGCCTAAAGCCAAGTAAGTTCTCACTAAGTGACAATATCGGCCACTTCTCGCGCTAGTAGTATCTCTGATCGCATGCCAAATTACAACGACCTGCAAGCTCGCACTTTGGTGGTAAGACAATATGCAGGAACACCGTGATTAGGGTCACTATGGGATGGCGCGGCCTTCACAATAAAACTTGCTCACACTTACCAAATGACGCAGGCGACGTTCATTATTATCTAGTAGCATTTGCTTTGAAATGGTGCCGTAAAGAAAGCTTCAGGTACAGAGCCTTTCAATCTAAGTGTCACGGTCGACGTAGCTTAGGTACTCGCGAGCCGCCTCGCTTTGGGTCTTTCAGATGGTGCAATACCACATCCGATGTCGCGAAAGCCTTAGCGGATGCGGTATTGTACCACGTGAGGCTCCCGCTCCACTTGATCCGCGTTGTGCCACTATAAGGCAACTGTAACTATAGGAGCTAACACAACACGTCGCGTTCAACGTTTATTGTGACAATGGCGAAGCTTACATCAGAAAAAGCCCCATTGACCCGCGGACCCGCCCGCTTCACTGCAGGGTGATTTATGGATAAGTCATCTGCTACGTATTGTGGCCGAACCGACATATCCCCAAATTACCCTGCAGTGCGGAATTAAAAACTGCAAACATTTCTTTGGTAAGTATGCATTTTGAAATTGCTTCTTCTACAGTCTCGGCTAGAAGAATAATGTTGTCGACGTACAGATTTTTTGCAACTTCTTTTGACAGATCTGTATTTTTGTCGAGTTCATAAGCACCATAATTAGAATGCTAGGTGACGCGGCTCACCAAAAGACAACCTTTTGAATCTATACTGTATGATTTTGGTTTTTACAGGTGGTTCAGTGGTAGAATGCTCGCCTGCCACGCGGGCGGCCCGGGTTCGATTCCCGGCCGATGCACCAGGACTGTGCCACTATGGGGCAACCGTAACTCTAGGAGCTAATACAACACGTTGCGTTCAACGTTTATTGTGACACTGGCGAAGCTTATAACAGAAAGGGTTGTTTCATACTGCCGCACCGACTGTAGCAGTCTGCACTGACCGCAGCAGACCGCAGCAGACTGCAACAGACTGCAGCAGATTGCAGCTGACCGCACTGACCGCAACGACGCAAAGGCTGAAGCCTGCAGGCGGAGAGGATAAATAGTTGTGGTTTAAACAAACAACAACAATATATATGTAAAAGCAAAAGACAACTCGGTTTAGAATGTTACAAAACGGGTATATGCGATGATAGGGGGAATTAGAACAAATACGAACATATTAAAGAAAACTGTCGCCAATATTTGATTGAGAAGAATTCTGATGGAACTTATGATCTTCTTATGCGTAAATCACGCTGTTTTGATAATCGCGGTTGTTTTTGTTTTAAGAAAAGAGGCTGCGGTGCGGTCAGTGCGGTCAGCTGCAGTCAGCTGCAGTCTGCTGCAGTCAGCTGCAGTCAGCTGCAGTCTGCTGCAGTCTGCTGCAGTCTGCTGCAATCTGCTGCAGTCAGTGCGGCAGTCTGAAACAACCCAAAACCCCGTTGACCCCAGGACCTGCCCGCTTTACTGTAGGGTGATTTATGGATAGGACGGTTTGGCCACAATATGTAACAGATGGCCAAACACGCTTGATCCACTTGATCCGCTGAATCCGCTTCGTGCAAAACGCGCGTACAGAGCAATTTGATTTGGCGCCGCGTAGGTAAAAAGGAATTTTGTATGATTACACAAATCCGCTGTACGCGACGCCAGATAACAAATCAGCGTTTTGCACGAAGCGGATCAAGTGGATTAAGGGAATCAAGAGGATCAAGTATGGCGGGTGCCTGAGACACCCGAGCGAAGGGGCTCGCGAGGAACTGAACAGCGTCGACCGTGACACTCAGATTGGAAGCCTCTGTATGATCGCCTCCACGATTCGGGTAGGGACGAGTTGCGGTATTTTCCTGACTTTAAGGTGAACCTGTTAAACCCACAAGTCATAGCATTGTTTTTCGTACTCTCTCGCTATCATAAACCACCACACATTGAGTTGGCAAAGCAACATAAAATAACATTTAGTATCTGCAAGAGAGCTAGCACTGAAAACATGCTCAAAATAGTACAGGTAAGCTTTGAAGGCGAAGAACGCTGCGAGTCACGTAACTTAGCATCACATATTGTTATCTAGCAGTAATCATCCCTTAATTGACCTATAGTTACAGTCTAATCATTTCATATGATCATGTGTGCACCCGCACACATGTTCATATTTGGCGTCCTCATCCTGATCTGCAACCGCAAAACGCAGGAGGCTGACCGATTGCTATCGCTTACAACTTTGAGGCGAATAGTACCTGTAAATGAAAGAAAACGTTGAAAACACTTTGAAAATGCCTGCATGAAAGGTTGTCTCCTCCAAGAATCCAGGATGGGAACGCCAAAGGTGGACGGTATGTGCAATGTCACACAAGATCACACGAAATGATTCGACTATAACTACATGGAATCGCCCGGTTTGAACGCCCTCGATGTGTCTTTTGAGGGCTAACACTGGCATTCCCGCGCATGACTAATCATAGCGCCCGTGTACGAACCAATCCAATTTCCACCTAAAGCGGTTCGAAACTTACTGTACCTGGGATTTCACAACGCTGAATCCGAAAATCTCATTAGAAAGTGCGAAAACGGGGAGAACTTGGTTTTGAAAACCTTACAATTTGCAGTAGACGATCCCAGTCACGGAAGATGCGCAGGGTCGCCAGGACCCTACAACTTCAAATACGGCGGCATGCTACTTTGCCGCAGAGCAGAAATGGAGTAGAGGACTACATGTCGCCGAAAGGGGCGACCCCCCGCGGTCATCTGCAACAGACACGCACGTTTTCACATGCATGGAGGTGCGTTTTTGTAAGAAGTCTGCGCGGCCCTCCTACATTCGGCGACATATAGTCTTCTGCCCTTTGCAAGGTGGAAAGCCCTGCCCCAGAGTGTTAGTCTCTGCGGGCGAACGCAGAGAGAAACCCAAGGCGGCTCGCGAGGACCGAAGCCGCGCCGACCGTGAGAAGATTACACCCCTGAACGGGACAAACGCGCCGTTGCCAATGTTTGTGAATTCCCTATGTATGCATTCTGAAACTAGGAGACAAAGGTTTTAATGTACTGACGCAAACTTGAACATTTTGGTTGATTCGCTACTTGGACTAGAAGAAGAATAAGTTCAGAATAATCAAATGGTCTGGCACAGCCTTAAATCGTTTTAGCATAAAACGAAGTAACATCTTAACTTTCGATATTTTTACGATAGAGAAAGTCAAGATGTTACTTCCTGCTTGATACGTAGCCACGCATAAAAATAGTGTTTTAGTAAAAATGCAGGAAGTAACTTTGCTTCAACTGGCTTGGCTTCAGCGAGGCGGGGCTTTGTGGCCTAATTGAGGCCGCTCGCGCCCGCACGCACCTGCGTTCCTCGCGCGAGTGCTATCTGACCACTACCTAGCCTTATTAGGTCAGCCCTGCCTTCCCGAAGCCATGCCAATTAAATCAAATGCTAGAAATGAACTATAACTATCGTCCCCTCCACAACTGCTACTACCTTTGTCTGCGTCTCAGACCTGCCACGTTTGGCTAACATGTTGGCAACGTGGCAACAACATGTTTGCAACATGGCACATCACGATGGCAGAACATTTTGACCACGCCAGCATATTGCTGCATGTTACCAACGTGTTGCTGCCAACGTGTTGGTCACACGTGCCACGTCCGCGACACCAGAAGGGTAGCAGCAAATCTGGAGGGGGCGATAATTCTAAAATCGATTTTCAGCCGAACAATTTTGAAAATCATGAGAATATATGTAGACTGAAAAGGGTAGCAGCAAATCTGGAGGGGGCGATAATTCTAAAATCGATTTTCAGCCGAACAATTTTGAAAATCATGAGAATATATGTAGACTGAATCAGCCGTCTGTGGTGTCATGGAGAATTCGTCACATTCCAAAACTTTACTTAAAGGCAGCGTCCAGGCAGATCTGGACCTATGGGGCTTTTACATGGAAAGTACTTTTGGGGCCCTAACTAAGGCACTGCCCAAGCGGCAGCTCATGTAGTGCTCTAATGGCTGAGATATTCCTCTCGAGACTGGCCCCCGCGAACCTATTCACATGGATTCATGGCAGTTTCGCGCCAGGATCCACGCTTTGCGCCACGAAGCCATGCGAAACACGGTCGCGGGGTCCAGTTTCGAGGGGAATATCTCAGCCGTTAGGGCACTGCCTGAGCTGCCGGCTGGGCAGTGGCTTAGTTAGGGCCACAAAGGTACTTTCCACGTAAAATCTCCGTAGGTCCAGACTTGCCTGGACGCTGCCTTTAATACTGATGTAAATAAAATCCTATGTTCCAAACTTGGCGTGCGCGTGTCCCCTGATTCTTTGCTTTTTGCCCAACGAAGCTCAGTGTACTCCCAAAAATTCTGCACTGGGCCCTGTCTTTGGTCTGCTGTCAGAAAAGATGATATATGCATCAAATGAAGAAACATTACACTAGTTGCAAACATGCACAGTCAATCGGCTATGGATATAGAGGCTACTGCATGACAAAGGCGCAATAGCGGTATTATGGAGCGGGCGCGAACGCGGCGAGCGCGTATCCTCACCTTGTATAGTAAGTTTCAACTCAGTTTAGGCGGAAATTGGACTGGCGGGAGTCCGCTTCGCAGCAATTCGCGCCACTTTGCAATCCG